GTTCCTACGGTGTGAAAACTGCACATAACCCGCTTCGGAGAGGGCTATACAGCTCTGATCGTTCGCCTAGGACATGCGGATCCAGAAGGCCCGTTCTCACATGAGGAGGCCCCGCAACAAAAGCTGGGGCCTGCTGGCTGGGCCTGCTGTGCTACAGTGCCTCAGTGTGGATGTGTTCGGTGCTGAGACACTCGTTGAAGTTTGGGCTACAGCGCGGCAACTCTGTTGCTGATGGAGTTGGCCAGTCACAGATGGGCAGGAGAAAGAGTAAGGTCATTTGAGGTTCAGAACCAAAGGTCTTAACGAGCAACACGGGCTTCCTAACTCTAGCTGGCAGCTGACGAGTTCCTAGAAACGGCTGTAACTCCAAAATTCGAAACCATCATTCAGAATGCTTTCTTAGGTCAAGACCATCTTCCCCGTCCGCAGATTTATTCTGGCACCCTTGGAAAAATGTCGCTCTGACGGTTCCCTTATGTTCTGCCTCCCTGCTTGACTAGTTCTCCACAAACGGCCTGCAGGCAGGGGTGTAAATGGTGAGTGTAAATTCGAGGACACTTTTACGAGGCCCGATGAACTATTCATGTAGCCTAGCTGTAAGGAGTTCCATAGGGCCCTAGCAGACTCAGAGTTCACCTCCCTCTTACCTAAGTGCCCACGTTACGTAACACCCCTCCCCACCCTCACCCCCACCCCACCTCACCCCACCCCCTGCCCCCAGCTTAAGAGCATCTCCAATGTTTCAGACCAATAACGTCATCTTCGCTAACAGGGATTTATGGCCTTCATTAATTAGTTACTTCTTATAAAATAAACCCTCGGATACTACACTGTGGTTCCAAAGAAGCTATTACGTAAGATGTCTCACTGAACGAGTACTAGATGCAAAGTCCATGGCGTACTCCAAAGCAGTTAGGTTCCGCTGGTCCTGACTCCTGGCCATGCAGTGTGCATCGGAGCAGAACGGCTCCATCAGGTTTTGTGGAAGTACTGCAAATCCACAGACCTTTCTTTCGAGGCACCACAGGCCAGTCTAGAACCCTCCATTTTCCAGTTAGCAGCTGAGTGTGTGAACCATCTGCACCACATCGAATTCCCAGGCCCTCATAAGGTTCGTTCTCTTCTCCTTTTACTTGCTTCACGTGACTATCTACATGTACTGAAAACCAATATTCGTGAATAAAATGACAGAACGCTGCACAAATGACCTAGCTTCTTTTCTCTTCTCAGAACCCCTCCACATTCCTCATGCTAATGTGCTGTAATCTCTATAGCATCATGTTTCCTTTAAAGCTATTTCCATACAAGAGAGACTTTTAGCAAAACACAAAGTCTGGGCTTTACCCAAATTTATAGCATAATAATGCCTAAAACTATTTTAAAAATATTTTTTTCTGAAACCATTCTGTGCTAGTCTTCTAAAAGAAAGGGGCGAGAAGATGGGAGACTGCTGCTACCACGGGTGCTTCTGTGGGGACTAAGGGTGGGGGGAGGCTGCTGGGATCTATAATGAGAGGGTAGGGCTCACGGGACGGCAGCTTCGGAAGTGTGTGGCTGTGCACGTGGGTATTTAAAAGCAGTGGCTCTCAGGAATAGTGACCACCTACTAGCACAAGCACTTCTAGAGGAAACGGAGACCTGAGAAACCCAGAGTTCATGACCTAGGAAGTCAAGTGGCCCAAGGGCAGGACACAGGAGGCTCCTACTGACCTCGAAGGCAGTGCTACTCACAGTGAAGCATAAGGCCCAGCGTCCCATCATGGGCTCTTCTCTCTGGGCTGCACACAGTGAGGTTTTAGAAATTTCCTCAGCCGTTTGAGACTACTTCCTATGTTAAAACTAACATTAAAAAAACAAGGTTTGAATTTTGTAAGACTTCTTCTATTTCACTTTTGCAGTAATTCATTGTGTATTGTATTGGTTCATCACAGACTGGAGGGGAACAAGACCTGGCGCTTATTCGAGAGACTCGGAAAGTTCAAGAAGTTCTGCTGTGGGGAGTCCACAGTAACCTCGTCCAGATTCCTGCCTGAAGCAGTCCCTACTGTTAAGTGCTAGAAATAAAGCGGCCCTACCAGGGGCAGGGAAGAAAGGTAAAAAGGTCCCAGAAGCAGTTGTCCGTTCTCCAGCTTGTCACAAGGGCCAAGAAATGCCGAGAGGGTCCACACACAGGACAGATGACCAGGAGAAAGGGGCTTTCTATAGTAAATAGGACCTAACAATGTGCGACTATATTTCTACCAGAGGAATGAAGTGCTTTTGTCGCTGTTTTATCCCCCCCAAAAAAGCATGGATACCAACCCTCCGAAAACAGTACGAGCCGCCTGCATTTCACTTCTTGAGAAGGAAGGTATCCCGCCCCCCAGGAGATGGGATCAGGCACCGGGAGGAAGTGGTGAAGTGAACTGCTGTTAGGTAGGAGGTCGTACACTGATACAGCTCATTAGTGGGCACGCTGTCTCCTTGGAGTACATGTTCTAAAAGGAGATGAAAAATTGGCCAAGACTAATCAAACCTGTGTCCACAGCCCACGGCTGCTTGCTCACGTTGGAAGAAATTGATACAATCAACATACCCTAACGAACCAGACCTTTCGTCTTGATGATAGATAAACAAAACACAAAAGAACACTAAAAGGTTCGACATGTAGGATGAAAGCAATGTGCAAAGGAGTCCTGGTGGCACAGTGATCCACATGGTCAGCAGTTCAAAACCTACCTCTAGGCTCGCTTTAGGAGAAACATGGTGCTTTCTACTCCCATAAAAAGTTACAGTCTTGGAAACTTATGGGGTCAGTACTAGCCTCTCCTACAAGGTCACTATGAGTTGGCATCAACTCTATGGTAGTCAGTTATTTTGTGTGTGTGCGTACGTGCGCACGCTTCTTTGCAGGAGCCCTGGTGGTGTAGTGGGTTATGCACTGGCTGCCAGCTAAAAGGTCAGCAGTTCAAAACCACCAGCCACTCCATGAGAAAAACATGAGGCTTTCCTACTACTTTAAGGATTTATAGTCTCAGAAACCCAACAGCGGTTTTACTTGTTCAACAGGCTCACTATGAGTTGGGATGGACTTAATGGCAACGAGTTTAGTTTTGAGTTTATACTCAATTGAGAAGATCTAACTTAACAGTTCATGTGCAAAAAACCTATATCTAGCTTGATAAGACGAAATAACAAGTCAATACATTTGCATTAAAGGGGTTAAATCATCCAACCAGAACCAGGACCACATATTCTGTTCAGCTTCTGGCATGTGCGCTTATGAAGTACATTGACAAATTAGCATGTCACTAACATTACGTTATATCATAGGACTATGACAGTGAAGGGTTTTAGAATAAGCTCAGAACTTCCACATGCGTTCAGAAGCACCCAGTACTTTCCCTAATATTTTGCATATAATTTCTATGTATATATGCATATACTTGTATAGTAGACCACGACTACTTATCTCCTCTGCTAGACTACAGACTGAGCAGAGCAGAGCAGGGATGGCGTCTGGTTCACCTATCCCTAGTACCTCATATGGAACGTTTTATCCAGCAGGTAGTCAGTAATTATGTCCTGGATGAATGAATAAACAAATGTCTAAAAAAAACTCAAACTCACTGCCACTGAGTTGAGACTGATTCACAGAGACCTTAACATATGAGAAATATTTGGAAGAAAAGGAGTTTAGGCCTGGGGAGCTGTGAGGGATGGTGAGCTCCGAATAATAGTGATTGTCTCACAGACGGTAAAACAAACTAACTTGATAAGGTCCCGATGGTAGGGTTAGATCCCAAGGGTGGAGGCAGTATTCACCTCTAGGGGTGGTTGGGCCTTTGTTAGCTACATCTCTGTGACAAATTCCGTGTGCAGTGTTATAAAGTGCTGATCCTTTCATCATGACAAAAAATTGGGGGGGGGGGTTTGGTCATCTTAAGGAGACATTAAATTGCCTTTAAAATTCTCTCCTATCATGTATGAGTCTATGGCTTCTATTACCCAGATTCTTGCATACAGCCCTTTACTTTCTCTTTCTATCCACCCAGAGCAAGAACCTGCCCCCCAACTCTGCAAAGAAATGGCTCGTCGTGCCCCCAAGAGCTCCGGGGAAGGAGTGGGGCTTCTCTCTGCAGCTACACGAGGAGGAAGAGAAGAAGCATTCCTAAAAGCCGCGTGGAAGACTAGGTCTAGAGAGAAAAGCCACTTCAAAGCACATAAGTAACACAAAAGCACCTTACGGATGGAAACGTGAAAACACCACCTCCCTCTTCACCCCCCTCTCCCTTGCTTCGTGGCTACCTTCCATCGGAGAACCTGCAGGGCAGCAGTGGGTCAACCTCTCCGTGTGGACTCAGAATCTTTTCCAGGTAACTGGGCACCACACGTACCACTTCCCCACTCAAGACCAGCAGTCAGACAAAACGTTTATTAACAACACGAGCTAAAAAGGATAGCCTTTCCCCATACCAACAGGCTGTTGTTGTTTGTTTTTTATGAGGAGGCTGGTCTAAAATGCACAAACAAAAATCGCAAATCTTTAGGCTTCCGATGAAGGCTTCTACTGAGTGGCATTTAGCATTTTCCTCTTGCCTTCCCTACTTTTCAGTGAAACAAGGGGTGATGGTGACCGCACATTCGTTGTGGGCCCGCAGGGATGCGCTGGGGTTTCTTCATCGGCTCTGCAGGTGCACGAAAGCCTTGGTGCCTTGGAGGAAGAGTGAAAGACCTGGGAGGACCCAGGGACTGCACTAGAAACATGGGCAAGACAGCACTGGACTGCTGCACAGGTCGGAACCCCTTTGACGAGACATACCGTTACTTCAAATCAGAGATGAACACATCGTTTGCAGACCACATTCGTGCCATCCGCGCTTCTAATGCGAGAAGTTGGCTCCCTTCATGGAGAAACCTCACTGTGGCCCATGACATTTCATGTTAACGAGGGCCCCTTGCCCTCTTTTGTTAAGGTCATTCACTTATCGTCTACCCAGAAGAAAGCAAGATGGCCTTACCTGTTTTTCCTGCTCCGCTTTCCCCAGTAATGAGAATGCACTGGTCTTTATCTTGATCTCGGAGGGACCGGTATGCTTCATCTGACAGTGCAAAGCTGCAGGGGATAAAGGGAGAGAGGGGAGGAGCTCTTAGAATAGTATGCATTTATCAGTGGTAATCACTGGCTCTTTAAAGGGTGACTCTGCTTTGGATTCAAAGCTAAGAATCATATTTTGTTTCCTTCAAATTCTTTAAATCAAACTATACGTCCCTACTTTCGGTAGTGCTACTGTTTGCCCCTGAATTCTCCGGTCACAAAATGACCCAGGCTTGTTGCCGACACATTTTATTGACTCGTCTTAAAAAGTCTTCACAAATTCAGAGAACCAAGCAGCAAATGTTGCTGCCCACACAAGGATAACACTGAGACCTTCAGGACCACACCTTTCAAATACACTAAAGTTTCAAAACAAAGAGGAAAACAGCATTTCAAACTTTGGGAAAATGCTATAAAACACTAAAGAGCTGGTGCTATCAGAACAAAGCTAATAGGCAACAATTATCTTTGCAAATAAATAAGTGGAACCACAAGGTCCCCTCAGAAGCATGGTGGCTCCAGAGGCAAGCCCCAGTTCTTGTCTAGTCCCAGCTGGCCAGACTGCTCCCTCTGCTCTAAGACTACAAAAACCCAACTATCAACGAAGAAAAGGTGTGTGTTAGGGCTCTATGCTTTCACACACTAGTCCATCTGTAGGCTGGGCAAATAATCTGAGACACTGGACTGTGTGAAGAGGATTGGAGGATGACTTATTAACCTGCAATATGCAGATGACACACTTTACTTAATGTAAGCATAAAAAACTTACATGACATTTACTGATGGATTAGTATTCAATGTGAAGAAAACAAAAATCCTCATAACTGAGCCAACAGACAAATTGGAGAAAAATGGAGAAAGCTGTCAAGGATTTCACTTTACCTGGATCCACAATGAAATCAACAGTTAAGAAATCAAACACCATATTGACATATTGTAGAGACCAAAAAAAGAACCGATGCATTTGATTATGGTATTGGTTAAGAACATTAAAGCACTGTGGACTATCTTGGAAGAAGGGCAGCCACAATGCTCCTTAGACACAGGCACGGGGAGACTGTATCTCGTGCACATTGGCCCTGGTATCAGGAGAGACCAATCTCAGGAGGACCCCATCACGCTTGGCAAATACTAGGATCATTAGAAAAGAACAAGACCCTCAATGAGAATGTACAGTGGCTGCAGCAATGAGATCAAGTAACAATAACCCCCTTCTTTTTTTTACATCATTTTATTGGGGACTCATACAACTCTTATCACAATCCATATATATATCTGTTGTGTCAAGCACATTTGTACAATTGTTGCCATCATTATTTTCAAAATATTTAATTGCTACTTGAGCCTTTGGTATCAGCTCCTCATGTTCTCCCTCCCTCCCCCCACCCTCCTTCCCTCCCTCGATAATTTATAAATTATTATTATTATTTCATGTCTTACACTGACTGATGTCTCCATTCACCCACTTTCCGGTTGTCCATTCCCCTGGGAAAGGGCTATATATAGATCACTGTGATCTGTTCCCTCCTTCTCCCCATACCTTCCCCTTCTCCTCCTGGTATCACTACTCTCATGATTAGTCCTGAGGGATTTATCTGTCCTGGACTCCCTGTGTTTCCAGCACTTATCTGTACCAGTGTACATCCTCTAGTCTAGCTGGATTTGTAAGGTAGAATTGGGATCTTGATAGTGTGGGGGGGAGGAAGCATTAAAGAACTAGAGGAAAGTTGTATGTTCCATCGGTGCTATACTGCACCCTGACTGGCTCGTCTCTTCCCCATGACCCTTCTGTAAGGGGATGTCCAGTTGCCTACAGATGG